GGCTTTGCCTATCCATAAGTTTATGAGAAATATATATTAAATATCTCTGAAAAATTACGTGACATTTCAGCTTTTAAAATTAATAAAAGATCCTGACTACTATTCTGCATATATGATACATAAGCATCTCACAGAAAGTTTTGTGTCGTGAAAATGTCAGCAAACTTATGGTAAAAAAGTGGGAAAATAGAAAATTAAATAAAGCAATCACTTAACAATTTTTGGAACAAAGCTTGTAAAATCTTATCGTTATTTATATCAAACCATGAGATTCTCTCGGAAGCTCAATTTAACAAAAAGTTTCATTTTCTATATTCTAGAATAAGCATTGTACTTAAAATTCTGAAGAGCGATATTTTTCTTTTTATTGTATGCTAATAACATTTTTATTTCAATTTCTATATTCATGCTTAAGAAATTTTAAAACTATAAAAGAATATTGTACAAATAATAAATTAGCTGAGCAATAAATATGTCCAATATATGCTTAATAGCAACACGGAAAAACAATTGCATTAGCAGAATATCCACAATGAACAAATAGCTACCAAATAATGAATATTTATTCAGTTTTTCACTGTCATCTACGTAAGCAATTTTTGACTTTGAATTTAAAATTTTAAATTTTTCTGAAAAAAAAAGCTTTTTCAAAAATGATGAACTTTTTCACTTGAAAATGATCATACAATCGTTTTTTTTTTTTTTTTTGAAAAATTGCAGTACATTTGTAAACTTGTCTGTGCTCAAGAAAAAAATAATAATGGGGTCAAATAATGAATAAGAAAATGAACATATGATCGGATCTGAAAGTCAGTAAAAGAGCGGATCAGAGAATCAGTTGTTCCACGAAAAGACAATAAATAAATGAATCATTTATAATTCTCTGATTCATTTATTTGATTCGATTTAATTGACTCACTCATTGACCGTCTGATTTGATCATCCATTGAATTTCGTATTTCTATTCAGAGCCATCAATTTTCCAGTTTATTAATTCTTATTCCGCTGTTCAATCTTAGATACTTGTTTTTAAACCATCAGCTATGCCGTAAATGTGGATATTGTTTAGTAAAAGAATTAATCGAATTAGTACTAGATGTACAATAAATGCATCATCATGCATAGTTATTGCTTATAATCCCGATTACAGTTATAATCAAGGAACACTTGAAATCATGGTATCTCCCAGATTTTGGTTACTTGTAATGGTTTCTTATAGTAATTACAAGTACATATCTCGATCATTAATAATAATGAATATTATATTTTTGCTCTACACTTTAAATTACAGTGTGCCATAAAAAAAACAAGACCATCCTGAATAACTTTAGATCTAATGATCGGATTTTCACGTTCTAGAACTCATTCTTAATGGTTCGATGGGGTGATTTCAAATTTACTGAAATATAAGTACAGACGATATTTTAAGCAACGAAATCAGATGCAAAAACTTACCTCATCTGAATAAACATACCTTTTTCCCCCAACGATTTCAGATTTCTGACGGCCAAAATATAGGGGGTAACGGCCATCTGGTAAATATGGTCCCCAATAGTTTCCGAGAAATCAAATTTCAAAGAAGTTAGATACTTAAAATTCAATTTCTCAGGAGCTATTCGACCGATTTTGCCCAAACTTTGTATTTTGCTGTAGAAAATTATATTCTTTAAAATTATTAAAAACGTTACAGTTCAAAAATTTTCGGCCATTCTTAAATAAAATAATTAAAATTCTAAAATAAAATTTGCTAAAAGTTATTTTTCGCCTGGAATTATCTTTGGATAAACGAATTTTATAATTGCGAGTAAAAAATTTTTCAGTTTGCTTAAAAAGTTGTCGAGATATAGCGAAATACGCAAAAAGTAAAATTGACGTTGAGAGGTCCAAACTTTGGATCACTCTCCTGACCAAACTATTTTGACCATATTTCTCAGACTGCATCTACCCCCTATATTTTGGGAAATCAAAATCCAGTCAGAAATCTAAATCCGTTAAAAAAAATGCATATTTATTCAGAGAAAATATGTTTTTGTGTCTGATTTTGTAACTCAAAATACCCTCCGAACTTATTAATTAGTATATTTGAAGTCACCCCTTCGAGCCATTAAGATTGAGTAACATGAAAATCTGATCATTAAAATCAAAAGTTATTTAAGGTAGTCCTTTTTTTGCACACTGTATGCATAAAATCTATTGAATCAAAAGAAAGCAAATTAGAAGTAAAAATTACAAATAACAGGGATTATTTTACCTGGTGAGCAGCCCAGTACCAAGCCATGGTTTCAGGAATTGATATTCGTTTGCTTTGTCAATCACAGTTGGACTACTCAAAATTGCCTGAAATTATTCAGATTGGATAACAAGATAAGACTAGAATATAATAATTGAATCCTTTTAATGTATTAGTATTATGAAAGTATGCAGAATGAAAATTATTTCTTCTTCTGACAATGTCTAAAAGCATTTGAATTTGTTATCGAAGTATAGTAAACCCGCAATCTCACAATTTCTAAGAGAAGTTAATTTGCTAAAGTGTTAGCTAAAATTTGACCCACTTTTTGCACCTTATTAGTTATTCTAGAACAGTGTTTGTTCTTTTTTTGTTTTTATTTATTTGTTTTTTAAAACAAAGAAATTAGTTTTTTTATTACAAGTAACGAATACTTATTAGGGGCCCTAAACCTAATACGTGGTGAATAAACAGGATGCCCATTACAAAATACAATGTATTGGGGCTTACATAAGTGTATTATTTTTTGTTAACCAATGGAGGAGCTTAGTAATTATTTTATACTACTTATTTGGCCTATTGCCATCTCTTTCTTATTTGGTTTTACAGTAACTGACCAAATTATTAGTCACACTATAAGATTCTATATGGAATCTTAATTATCAGGTTATTGTTTTTACGTGGCTGAAACCGGTTTGTACTTGTTTACGCTCGTGTACTATTGGTTAACATTGCAATACGTTAAAAATAAATACGAATAGGAAGTATATAAAAAATCTCCTGAATAAAACCCCATTACATGTATGTTTAAATATAAAAATTTTGTAGATAAACTCGTGCAAAACATGTCATTATTTAAAAAACTACAGTGAATCTAATAATTTGGTCTAATTATTATAATATACTGATATAATATCTGATTTAATAAATATTGTATATTTATATAATATATTGTCTAATTTATCCAATTGTCGAATTAATATTATATATCTTCTAAATTAACCAATTGATACACGAAGGTAAACAAGTGCAAACTGGTACCAGTCACGTAAAAACAATAAAGCTGTATAGTATCATCTGATAATTAAGATTTTACATAGAATGTGAAAGTCCGTCTAATAATATGGCTAGAGACTGTATATTTGATAAAAGTCACTGGTTGAGCGTGTGTATACTTCCAACCTCAGTTCCTCCTGGTAGAACTATCGCGACGGCTTTGCCTATCCGCTAACTTTCGGGGTTGGGTCTATTACTTCTATTCTTACAAGTACGTAAATGTTGGGTTTTAAGAAATTCCAAGTCTCGAGTAAAATATTTAAATTACTTATAATTATTAAAGCACTTCAATGCATTGAAATAATTTAAAAACAATAAGAAAATTTTCTACCTCTGCGGTTTCAGGCTTGAAAATGAATACAAAAGGCTTCATATGCACATGTATACGAAAAATACCTTCGTTTCCATATATTTTGCACAATCCACAAATAACTTGTAGAAGACCTAGGAAAAAGCATATGATTTATCATTCAATTGTTTGGAGCATGTTCAAAATTCGAAGTTTGCAGCTAGCAAATCTCCAATTAGCAAAACTTAAAACCAAATTTTAAATAATTTAAAATCTAAAGCAAGTCTTAACCTGCACAATAAGCAAATTATTCGTATTTCATTAGTCCGAGAACTAACTATATATTTTTAACCGAACCATATATTAAATTATCATGGACATGGTTATGGAGTGGGTTAAATATAGAGTTTGATGTCGCATAATTACTTAATATATTCGTGAAACATAATTAATTAATATATTTAAAAAACACTTTGTAAATATGTATCAATGCCTACACCAGAGCTGTCCAACTGGCTGCCCGCGGGCCGCATGCGGCCCCCCAACTTCTTATTCAGGTTGATCGGCCTTAGTTTTCCCATTAAAGGGTGATTCTCACGAAACATGACATTCACTGTCCCTTGCTCCAAGATCTAATACTATAATACGAAAAGAACATTTTTTTAAAAAAAAATTAATAAACAGCATTGCTGTTAGCATTTTAAAATGACTTTGCACTAGCATTGACTGTTTTGTATACTTAAAAAATTTAATTGAATATCAAAATGTCATTTTCCTGGCATGTCCCAAACAATATTTCCAATAATAACTAGCTTCAAAACTTCCCATACATTTTTCAAAATCTAATTTTTTTTATCTTATCCTATGTAAGCATTTCTAGAATATACGCAGAGGGTATTGTTTACTAAAACTTCGTTTAAAATAATTTTTTCTGTCAATAATTTGTTTGTCCCATGAAAATCTGTCATTTTCCTGGCTACTTTTATTTAGTGATTTATAACCAAAATAGATAGCGCCAGGAATCAATATCTTATGTTAATAGATTGATTAGATACCCTCCTATCTGAACATGTCTTGTTGCATGAATAAAGAACCAATTTTCTGGCTCAAAATCTATTTCAAAAAATTTTTCAAGGTGAGTAGGTTTTTATGCTGTCATTTTCCTGGCTTCTTGAAATCATTAATAACAAAAACTACATAGATTTATCTGAGTTATTTTAAGAAATACTGTTGTTTTCTGCAGAATATAAACGTCTTCGGCCAAAATATTAAATTAAAGTAAAGTTATATGCTATAAAATGGCGAATTTGTCATTATCCTGGCTGTCATTTTCCTGGCTTATGAATGCCAGGACATTGAAGTGTTACCAAAAATTCTTTTTGACTGCTAATACTGCAAATATTAACCTATTACCAATATTAACCTAAGTTATTACGGCAAATATTAACCTAATACCAAGTTTATGTATGATTGTAATATGCTTGGATGTAATCAAAGTTATTTATTTATTTAATGATTGATTATTATACAAAATTTTATTCTTTACATATCAGCAAAATTTTTTTTGTTTCTTTCTGCAGTGGATAAAAAGAATTAATTTAAGCTATTTATGGTCCATCTAACATAAAGGGTTAAGTTGAGTTACTTACTATTAACTTAAAATGACTGTTTTTTTAAACTTCTAAGGTGATATGTCATTTTCCTGGCATTCAAGATTTGGTGAATTTCTATTTTATTTTTTTTCTCGATCAAATGTCAATAAACTACACTGCTGTCTATAAGACATTAATAAGTGTAGCTAAAGAAGTATACAAAAAAAAGTTTAGATTTTTTTTGAAGACTTTAAATTTGAAGAAATTTTTTGGTCCGAATTGTGATGTTTCGTGAGAATCACCCTAAAATGTAAGCAAATTGTTTTACAATCCTTCTGTTCCATTGTTTTATAATTAATAATTCAACTATTTATTGTTATTGTATAAGAGGTTATTGTTCAACTTTTTCAAACTGCGGCCCGTCAGGTGATCAGTGACTGGAATTCTGGCCAGTGGGCTCTTTGCAGTTGGACAGCCCTGGCCGACACGAAAGTCGTTGACACGATGGGCGGTGTGTGTACCATCAATAATTGGAAATCTTAAAAAGTCCTCCCCTCTAATATTTCAGAAAAATAAAAATAAATTTTCTGCATCATCATCATTTTAAATTTAGCTAAGTTAAAAACAATCTAAGAAATGAAAAAATTAATCATTTTTCGGATGAAAGAAACCAGATCCTTTATATGTACCTTAATTTTATTCTATTTAAAAATTGGACGCTTATGGTCTAAAATATCTCAGTACCAAATATGAATACATTAAAATAATTTTAATCATATTCGAGAAAAAATCGCTACGTGTATTTCAAAAAAAATATTGATAAAGATTGAATTTTAAAGAAGATTAATAGATAAGGATTTGCAATTCAAATTTTCAGTTTCTATGCAAGATTTAAGTAGTGTTTCTCATAATGTGAGTGATCAAACATTTATACACAGGTGGCAATGACTCACGAAACATTGAAATTTGATGAAAATAAATTCAAAGTTTTGTTAGACACTGGGGTGATTAGCTGAAACAGGTATATGGTATGAATTTAAAATAATTAGGATACAGAGGTACGATTGAGTTTCGAGAATGTTTTAAATGTATAAAATAAATAGCTCATTTCTTAGCTTGTATTAAAAGACATTTAATATAACTTGTAATTGTAAGTTTTTTTGAAGCTAGCTGAACTAAATTGGATTTTGTTTACTTTATTTATGGCATTTTCTAAAACCATCATAAAATCCACTTAGGTAGGTAAACACGAATTTCAAGACCTCAACGCACCGTAGCGATTTTTCCCTTCTCTGTACTATTCGCATCGTTCGATTTTCTTACTCTATCATCGAATTTTTTACGTGACAGCTCATTGCAATGAACGTTAAATGTTTTAAACTGTTACACTGTGTCATTGAATACTTATATCCTACATCAAAATTATTCTAAAACCAAATAATGTAACATAATAAACTAGGTCTGACACAAAAAATTAGGGGAAATAAGAGGGACGATTGCTGGAATGTCTCAGGATCATAGAACTCACCTTCATAGAAACAAGGTAAACCCCGAAGAAGTTATCATAATAGAATTATTTTCAGGTTTTATTCCGATTTATTAACGTATTTAGTTATAGAGATTTGTGACGAAATTCCTTTACATTCGTTATCAGTAAATAATTTGTATATTTAGACAGATACTCAGAGCCTTAAAATTGTCGATTCTAACTGTACGAATATCTGATTGTGAAATTGGATTTTTGATCTTTTGAGGTCGTTATTGCTTTATTTAAATGAATAAATATATGCATTACTGTAGTAAATACTATAATCGTACGAAACTCATAAGTGATTTACTGGGTCAAGGGTTATTTTTTATTTAACCTAGCATTTCAGTGACTAAATTTTAAATATTTATATTTTTTAAACTTTTAGAAATGAATTTAATTATTGCATATTGCACTAAATAATGTACGAAATTAAAGGTTCAGTTTGATGCGTGACATTTTTGTTAAACGACAAACATGTAATCAAGTATCCAGCTCACTTCCCGCATTTTGTATTTTAAAAATTTCAATGGCTCCCTAATGTTGCACAAATGCATTCTTTAAGTTCTTGTTGTATTTTTCGCGTCAGAGATTCATAAACAGAGTCTTTGCATTAACCACATAAGAAGAAATCTTGATGGCTATGTGATTAAATATCCATCCATCTCTTACTATCCGCTAATCTTAGACAGAACTTGCAAACTACAGATGCCAAAAACACTACAAGAATTTGTGAGTATGTGCAGCATTAATTATTGCAGTATTTTCCGCACCAAGGATTCAGAAATAGTGTTATTGTATTAATACCATGAGAATAAATTACATGGCATGAAGTCTAGGGTCTTGGTGGCTATCCTGCTGACTATTTGATTAAGGATACATCCACCCCTTATCACTCGCAAACTTTCGACGCTATTTTGAGCTACCCATGCCAAAAGAACTACACGATCCTAAGCAAGTTGTAAGCAATAGGAACCACTGACAGTGTGAACATACAAACTGCTTTAAACTAATCAGAATTGTGCTGCATTTGCTTGGATTATGAATATTTACAACTGAAAAAAAATTTACATATTTTTTTTATGTTAACGTGTTTCTTTGTGTTCAATTTTATCAACCATTTTATTTGTGTAATAATTATAAAATGTAAACATTTAAAATCTGGTCAATAACCCAAATATCGATTTATCAACACACGTTCTAAGCTTTGGGGTACACCGCTAGGATGCGCTAGACATAGTCACATATTTTTAGCCAGGAGGTGTTGGAGATTCTTAGGACTTACCGACAAGGATTAGTAATCCTTTTTTTTATTTCCAATGCCTACCTGTATTAACATTTCGTCACTTCAGGTATTTACAGGGCAGATTTGCTGACCACTCTCTTAGGAGCACCATATTAGGTGTGCCAACTTTGCTCCAACAGTAAGGACATATAGTGCAAAGAATGAAAGATCATCCATGCCTTGCCCGGGATTTGAACCCAGAACCTTTCTGATGCAATGCCGGTTAATTAACCCCTACACAGTCCATTCGGCGGGTTAGTAAGTCTTACATTAAGCATTTAAGACTAGGTTTAACTCTCATTCGTGTTCAATATATACACATGTACAAAAGACCTGATAAACATGTTAGAACTTCCAGATTCGCAGTTCTGATGATATTATATAAAAAGTTTATTGATACTTACCACATAGAATGAAATCAGTGTTGGAACGTTTCCTCTTGTTCACTCCTTTAATCAATGAGTAACAAAGAGCAAGTTTTGAACATGGCGGACTCGGCAAAGGCTTCTCAAGTGCTTCTCCTTTACAGAATTGTTTAATGATATATATTACGGCAGGAACGATAAGTACTGTAATCAGTGGTAGATCATCAAACCAATTTCGTGTAAAAATACGCTCCAACTGCAAAATACATTTTAAAAAGATTAACTCTCTGCATATAGTATTCTGTCGATATCTCAAAGTTGAAAGAACGAAAGTTCAAGATAAGTTCAAGTTTCTTGAAGTTCAAAATATTGAGAGTATATTGCAGGAAGAACTTACATTATTTATATATTGGGTGTCAAATATTGAGCAATAAGAAAAAATCTGGATAAATTTTGAGCGGTTGGCGAAATTAACTTTAAACTTGGTCGTATATTGGAATTTTTTTCACTTTTATTGTTGTTGTTTATTAAGAAGAAATTACGAAATACAGCGCTTCTCAGCGTTGGCGAAGTATTTCGATTTAAAAACAGGTTTACTAAACTGGCAGCAATTCGTTATTCGTCTGCGCCACCCGATGGCCATTATTAGCAAGAAGTTTTAAACTTTCCACTCAATTAATAGTACAAGTGAAAAAGCGATATATTTTTATTCCAAAGCACAAGAAAAATGTAATGTACATTAAATGCAAAGTATTTCGTTTTAATGTACAGTTTCTGGTCAAATTATTAGGCTCACTATAAGGTTCTATGTAAAATCTTAATTAACAGGTGATACTATACAACTTTATTGTTTTCATGCGACTAAAAGCGGTTTGCACTAGTTTACGTTCGTGCATCAATTGGTTCAATTAAACGGTATATAATATAAATTCGACAATTGGATGAATTAGACGATATATTATATAAATATAGGATATTTATTATATCAGGTATTATATTGGTGTATCGTAATAATTAGACTAAATGATTCGACGCACTGCAGTTTTTTAATAATTATATGTTTTGCACGAGTTTATATGCAATACTGTTATATTTAAACATACATCTAATGGGGTTTTATTCAGGAGATTTTTTATGTACTTCCTATTTGTATTTATTTTTAACGTATTGCATTACAATGTAACGTATTACATTGCTACTCGCTCATTTCACCTTGTTCCAAAGTACTCTGGATTTTGCACTCTTGATCTTTTATTGTTCGTTTATACTTTAAGTATATTAAAGATGCCTCCCCGGCCGTAATTATTAAAATGCTAACTATAATATTCATGTCTTATTTTGACCTAAATTAATCGAAAATAACTACTTAAATGGTATGAAAAATATGTTTAATAAAAAATCTGAGTCAAAGGATTAAAAAAAAACTGTATGATAACGAACATATTGCCACTAGAACTTTTAAAATATGATAAATTTTATGCTGGAATTGACGCAAGTACTTATTTTTGAACCATTTAAAAAAATTATAGTATGAATTGTGTAAAACAAATAGATTTACAAACAGAATTGAAATATCTCACTGTTACTGAAGTACGTTTAATGATTTAATTACACTTTCTTGCAAGATTTAAATAGATATTTTCCAAAATAACACGGACTGTTATTATGCTACACAGAGCAATTTATTAATTTCTATTTTCTCAAGCTTTGTTGTATTTTAATTCTATTCTTCCTAATACATTAATTAATTAATTTAATATTATTTATTTATTTATTTTTTGTAAAAATTCTTTAACTTTTCAATATCAGAAAAAATAACAATTGCTTAGATTTATAAGAGAAACATTTAGAGTGTAGGATTAAAAATAAATACAAAACAAAGTACAGTAAAAGTAATGTAAATTGAAAATAAATTATTAAAATAAAGCCTGCGTCCCTTTTTTTGTATTTCCTAGCTTAATTAATTTTTTCATCATGCAAAAATGCTATTTTAATTTAAAGGCAAAAAAATTTTGTTGTCACATTAATTTAAAGTGGCTATTTTAAAAATGATCCTTTCGAGTTTAAAATTGGTATAGGATAGAATTTTGCTCTTAAGAAAAAAATAAAAAAATAACAGCTTTTTTGACATTTTATAGCTAAGAAAGTATTCGTCCTATTTTATTTAAATTTTGCATTTTATCATTTAAAAATGTCACATGACGGTGAACTCATCTTCCTTTGTCCCCCTCCCCCAGCGTATCTTTAACCCCTAATCTTTNAAGAAAAAAATAAAAAAATAACAGCTTTTTTGACATTTTATAGCTAAGAAAGTATTCGTCCTATTTTATTTAAATTTTGCATTTTATCATTTAAAAATGTCACATGACGGTGAACTCATCTTCCTTTATCCCCCTCCCCCAGCGTGGACCTGAACGTGAAACTAATCTTTTAACTCGTTCTAATTTAAAAGTTTGAAGAAAAATTTAACGTAAATCTGGCTTACTTAATGTAAAATTTTCTGAATTTTGCTGATAAAATTATGACAGATAAAAAAAAAAAAAAAAAAAAAAAAAAAAAAAAAAAAAAAAAAAAACATGAATTTTATTTTTTTCAGAATCTAACAATATAAACGACCACTCCAGATGATGTAAAACTAAGCATGCCTAAAAACAACTTACCATGATAGCCTTCAAGTCGATATTTTATAACACAAGATGGAAAACTGGAAGAAAAAAAAATACGAAGAGAAAAAAATTATTTGAAATCAAATAAATAACAAAATTTGAAACAAAAGTTTCAGTTGAGTAAAATATTAGTCTAACTGTATAGAGGCAGTGATGTTATTTTCGAGATAAAAAAAAGATACATCGAACTCTTACCATGATTTGATTTCTATTCAAGATAAAATCGAACATTCTAATGACTTATGCATTCGAAGAAATCTCGATCCTATCAATTTTCAAACCTACATCCTTATTTATCAACATGAATTGCAGTTTAATATAAAAGTATATTTCCATACCTATTGAGGAAGTAAAATTAAGTGGTGAAAGTCAATGCTGGTAAACAATGACTGAAATGCAGATTCATGGTGACAAATCGATTTTGGGACCATCTGCAAAGTATGATTCAAGAAAATTCGGTTGCATTGTAAATTCAAAATAAATTTTGTAATGATTTTTAAGTAATAAAATTGGGCAGATAGTGGGTGATTCCACGATTTCGGATTGTTCGTGGGAGCATTAAATTAATATGCATCTACTAGATAAAAAATTTTTGTAAGTAAGTATATCTATATCTGGATTTTTTTCTGCGTACTAAATGTAAATTCGTTAAAATAATTTTGTTTTTATTCATAAAAAAACATTGTTAAATTATAATTTTCAGCTGTCCCTTCACCGTGGAATCACCCTACAACGTTATTGAAACACGTGAACAAATCTATTAAAATAAGACTTGAAATAAAAATGTGAATATTAAAGGAATGACTAAGTAGTACAAAGTAAGATGAGAATTAATAAGAAACAGATAACTGATGTTGCATTTTGTATATATTGTGTAAATTTTTTCTATAATAATTAATCGTAAGGATCGCCGCCGCCATACTTATTAGGTTTTCAACGTATCGTTACATTTTGTTTTGCTGAGCAAAAACTCCACAACTTAAAAACTTGAAATTACAAATATGTGTAGAAAAGTGAGCAGGAATTGCAATTGGTTAAAAAATTAACATTCGATGATTTGTTCGAGAATTACTAATTGTTAAACTTGTTGGAAGAAATACCATACAGGCCGTAGGAATGCAACTACAGAGTTGAAAGCATGCGAGAAGAGCCATATTTGCTTATGAACTTAACAGAGTTTTTTTTTTATTTCGAAATTCCAATTTGTTTGAAAGTTAATGAAATTTTAAGCTCTCTATTGTGATTATTTTCTCACTTTTCGTACAATTTGCTTTGCTGAGCAAAAACTCCACAACTTAGCAGCTTGAAATTGCAAATATGTGTAGAAAAGTTGCCAGGAATTGCAATAGGTTAAAAAATTAACATTCGATGATTTGTTCGAGAATTACTAATTGTTAAACTTGTTGGAAGAAATACCATACAGGCCGTAGGAATGCAACTACAGAGTTGAAAGCATGCGAGAAGAGCCATATTTGCTTATGAACTTAACAGAGTTTTTTTTTTATTTCGAAATTCCAATTTGTTTGAAAGTTAATGAAATTTTAAGCTCTCTATTGTGATTATTTTCTCACTTTTCGTACAATTTGCTTTGCTGAGCAAAAACTCCACAACTTAGCAGCTTGAAATTGCAAATATGTGTAGAAAAGTTGCCAGGAATTGCAATAGGTTAAAAAATTAACATTCGATGATTTGTTCGAGAATTACTAATTGTTAAACTTGTTGGAAGAAATACCATACAGGCCGTAGGAATGCAACTACAGAGTTGAAAGCATGCGAGAAGAGCCATATTTGCTTATGAACTTAACAGAGTTTTTTTTTTATTTCGAAATTCCAATTTGTTTGAAAGTTAATGAAATTTTAAGCTCTCTATTGTGATTATTTTCTCACTTTTCGTACAATTTGCTTTGCTGAGCAAAAACTCCACAACTTAGCAGCTTGAAATTGCAAATATGTGTAGAAAAGTTGCCAGGAATTGCAATAGGTTAAAAAATTAACATTCGATGATTTGTTCGAGAATTACTAATTGTTAAACTTGTTGGAAGAAATACCATACAGGCCGTAGGAATGCAACTACAGAGTTGAAAGCATGCGAGAAGAGCCATATTTGCTTATGAACTTAACAGAGTTTTTTTTTTATTTCGAAATTCCAATTTGTTTGAAAGTTAATGAAATTTTAAGCTCTCTATTGTGATTATTTTCTCACTTTTCGTACAATTTGCTTTGCTGAGCAAAAACTCCACAACTTAGCAGCTTGAAATTGCAAATATGTGTAGAAAAGTTGCCAGGAATTGCAATAGGTTAAAAAATTAACATTCGATGATTTGTTCGAGAATTACTAATTGTTAAACTTGTTGGAAGAAATACCATACAGGCCGTAGGAATGCAACTACAGAGTTGAAAGCATGCGAGAAGAGCCATATTTGCTTATGAACTTAACAGAGTTTTTTTTTTATTTCGAAATTCCAATTTGTTTGAAAGTTAATGAAATTTTAAGATCTCTATTGCGATTTTTTTCTGACTTTTCGTTTCAATTTGCTTTACTGCTTAAAATCTATAAGACTTAAAAACTGGAAAATACAAAGTTGTGAAAAAAATTGCAAAATGAGTTCGACGGGACATTAAAAAAATTACGATTCGATTATTAGTTTAGGAATTATTAACTGTTAGAGTTGTAGTGAAAAAGAAAAAAAAACACGTTCGCGCCCATCTACTGTTAGCCGAAATGCAACTACAGAGTTGAAATTTGACATACTGATAGAACCATTTTGTATCATAATTTTAAAATTATTCTTTTTTGTTCGAAACTCTTATTTCTTAGAAAATTACTGCAAATCTTAGTTCCTTTTTGTGATTTTTTTCAACCTTTTTGTTTTGAATGTTGACTATTGTTGTAGAAAATTTATTTTTCCTTCACGAGATCTTTATTTCGTTATTTTATAAACTCGCAATCGAGTAGATGTCAATCAAAAATAACAGAAAAAAAAAGCGTAATAGAGATATTCCGTATTGCCAGACATAAGTCTTAACATTTAAAGGGAAATTTAAAAAAAATAAAAAATATTTAAGAAACAGCGAGAAATACCATTCCTTATTTGAAACGTTACAAGTTTTGTCGACGAGTTAAGATTATTTCTCAATTATTTCTTATTGAGTCACACATTCTGTGTTATTAAGGTAAAACTTATTTCAAATTCAGATGACTATATTACCACTGATGACTATATTACCACTATATTACCACTTATGACAAATCCAGGTAATTGTCTATTTCGTTTTGATCAACTGTTTAACAAAATGTTCCAACTTAAAGCCAAAATAATTGTGCATTTTTATGCCAAAATGTTCTGTGTTTTGTGGAAAATATTGACCTATCAGGAGAAATAAACAATGATGAATGAAAATCAATTATAGGGTTTGGTGAGAGGAGCTTCCTAGTATGTGCGACAATTAAAGGACAAAAAATCATTTTTTAGTTGGATGTCGTGAGTGGCACTGCCAAAAGTGACCAATATGAAAGTGTAGAGCCGCGATGGCACAGGGGATAGAGAGTTCGCCTTTCAATGAGGTGAACTGGGTTTGAATTCCAGTCGAAATGAATTCCGCATCCAGCCTGCACCGACCACAGTGCTGACGTGAAATATCCTCAGTGGTAGACGGATCATGGGTTAGAGTCCCCTTGCCGTCAGGCTAACCGTGGGATGTTTTCGTGGTTTTCCTCATCACATAGCGCAAATGCGGGTTATAATATATATATATATATATCTTCTCGATCTCGATCCAGGAGTTTCCTTGTGTTCTGTATAGGATTCAAAATTACAAGGCTACAGAGTTGAGCATTAGTAGATTAGTAGTCGTAAGTCCATAAAATTGGGTCGGCTGTTCAACGACCGTTATAATATATATATATATAGATAGATAGATATATGTGTGTGTGTGTGTGTGTGTGCGTAATAAGCGAAACAACAGCCTCTATGTTATCCCGCCAGATGTCGCTCGTCTGAATGAAATGCATAGAACCTTCTCAATGTAAATGAGGAGTCAGTTGGAATTGTCTGTTGAAGTAGTTTCTAAGTGAAACTGATAATCTTAGTGATTAAAGTCTATGTTATTAGTTAATTGAAGTTTGTTTCTGTGTGAAACTTGGAACCTGTGTGGTTCGATTCTGTGTAACTAAATGTTTCTGTGTGAAACTGGGAACCTGTGTGGTTCGATCTTAATTGTTTAAGAGTCTGTGTGACTCATGTTATCATTGCATAATCATTAAATGTCTTGATTGACTTTATTAATGGTAACCAAGGCATTTACATAATTTTACAAAATTTTAATATATATATATATATATATATAAATATAAAAGTGTAATTGCAATAGTACAATGATTAAGACATATTGATTTCATATTGTTTGATAAAAAAGGTAATAGGCGATCAAAAGATTAGGACACATTTTCAGTGTTAAATCTCGCAAGCTGACTATGGATAGAACATTCATATGTAAACCACTAATAAAAAAAAAGACGACAATAACGTCTTTAAAACATCTACGGTAGACTAAGGCAGGCCACACTCTGAAGGGACTAACGGTAAGAAATGCAAGTGAGACAGGCCAACACCTACTAGGTTTTTATGGACATGCGCGCATCTCAGCAGCGCAGATGTGACACGCTACGCACTGAAACGAAGCTGCAGTTTTCGGGCATGCTCTGTAACAAGCGTCTAGGGGCAGGACGATTCCATAATACAAACGGGCCTAACCCTTTGACTCAGAGCCGGATTATACCTTTCATAGGCCCTCGGCACAGTCGTTTTTGGGCCCTCCCCTCCTTCCCCCACTCCTCCCCTCTTTTCAAAACATATGCTAAACTTTTCTTGCATATTTTTTTTTTACATTTTTATTAATATGGATTTTAATTTGAATACAACATTTTGCGTAGTTTGGAATTCGACAGCATAATACAAGATTTCGTTGAATCCAAAAATCGCAAAAAAGTAATATATTAGATCAGTGCTCCCCAACCTTTTTATAACTGCGGACCTGTCAAAGTTTGATAATTTCACCACGGCCCACTGAGGGGGGGGCATTGATTGTTTATATTTTAGATTATTTTAATTTAAATGCATTTAAACATACCTTCAAAATAAAATACAGTTAAACCAAAAAATAAAGTGATTTAACATTTTGACTTACTGGAACGTTACATCAATGAGAACTCTAAGCTTGTTTCTTTGCAATGAGACGGCTCCATCTGGGGGTAATCGGAGACAATGACACCCGAAGTGTGTTGCTTATCTCCAGTTTATTCCGTTGCTTTGTTTTGGTTGCTGTTACTGCAGAAAACCCAGCTTCACACAGATAGGTTGTTGGAAATGGCAATAGGGATTTAAGTGCTGTGGTGACAATCTCGGGGTATTCTGCCAAGACTTTAATCCAGAACACCGGCAGAGTTGTTGTTTCGAACGTAGTTTTGAGCCCGCCGTCATTAGCAATCTCCAACAGTTGATCTTCTTCCTGCACTGACAAGCTAGATTCACCCGATTTGTTGGCAAATGGGTCGCGGATCCATTCCTTACCAGTTCGTGGGTCTTTTGTGGTTGGGAAGTAGCGCTCGAACTCTTTTAAAAGCAAAGACAGGTGATCGTGAACCAACTGGGAGAATGAATCTTCAGGCTCTGTCTCGCCTAAAATACCCGCTAATGTCTGAAACATGTCGAAAATGCCTCTGTTCACGCGTCGTCCCCATAACTCCAGTTTGGCTTTAAAGGCAGCTACTTTGTCAGCCAACTTGAAAACAGTTGTCATTTTCCCCTGAAGGCACAGATTGAGTTCATTCAGCAGGTTGAATATGTCACACAGGTAAGCCAGTTTGGTGACCCATACCTTGTCACTGAAATGTGCTGCCAGCGGTGACTTCTTTTCTAAGAGAAATCTTTGCAATGGCTCTCGCAATTCAAATACTCTCAGTAGCGATTTTCCTCTGGATAACCATCTTATTTCTGTGTATAACAGAAGGCATCTGTACTCTGCGTCCATCTCCTCACAAAGCTGCTCAAACAGGCGCGAGTTAAGGGCGTGTGCTTTGATGTAGTTAATAACTTTAACGACATCAATCAATACGCTGTTAAATTCTGGTGACATTTTTCGGCTTGCTAGCACTTCCCTGTGAATGAGACAATGTGTAGCTTCACTCTCAGGTGCAACTTCCTTAATCCGAGCAGTTAAACCAGATAGACGTCCGGTCATAGCAGCAGCTCCGTCTGTGCATATGCCTAAACAAAAGGACCATTTTAGTTGTCTTGATATATAACCATCCAGTGACTTGAACAGTTCTGCTCCTGTGGTGTTGGTTGGCAAAGATAGTGCACATAACAAATCCTCATGCACATCTTCCTGATATAGATATCGCACATAAACAAGTAGTACTGCCTTGCTGTCAATATCTGTAGATTCGTCAACCTGGAGTGCGTACCACGGTGATGCATTAATCCTCTCCAACAATTGCTTTTCAATGTCTTCGGCTATTTCCTCAATGCGCCTAGTCACAGTGCTAGCCGACAAAGGCACATGTGCTATCTTTTCCACAGCAGCTTCTCCTAGTATTTCACGGCAAATGTCTTTAGTGGCGGGCAAGATTAATTCTTCACCAATATTGAATGGCTTTTTAGCTTTAGCAATGCGGTTAGCCACCAAATATGATGCTCTTAGTGCACTCTCCTTTATTGATGTGGTGGCCATCATAAATTTTTTCTGTCCTTCGTGTTCCCGTTTTTTTCTTTCAAAATACTCCAGGGACTTGTCTTTTAATCCAGGGTGCTTGGCGTTCAAGTGGCGAAGCAGTTTTGAAGGTTTCATTGCGTCATTAGAGAGTTGATCGCCGCAAACTATGCAGAGCGGTTTTGGTTTGTGTGAATCGCCTGTCCCGACAAAACCATACTTCAAGTAGGACTCATGGTATTGTCTGTTAAAAGTTGCATGTTTCTTTGATGTTGAAGGCTCTTCGGTCTCTTCACTGAGCCTTTTCTTTTTTCCAAGGAAACTTTCTAAGGACGTCTGTTTTGTATTCATGTTTGCTAACTTGTGAGTTAAATTTGTGCAGACACAATACACACGTACGCCAAGCACTGTTAAACCTGAGAAAGTACCGGTGAACAGAGAGAGGAGTGATAGACACTTTCTTTTTACAAAA